AACTTGAAATGATAGTTTTGGATTGGCTTGCTAAGGCTCTTAATCTTCCTGATCAATTCCTTTCGACAGGTATTGGTTTTCTTTACTTTTCAAAGGTCCTTGATTTGCATTCGAGGCATAGATAGTCTCTGTTGTTCTTTATTTATTTATTTATTGTCATGTTGAAAAATGTTATTTCTTTTATTGGTTAATTTGCTCGATCAAGTTTTCATGCAAAGTTGTTTAAGATTGGGAGGAGTCGAGTTTCAGGACAAGGTGGTGGTGTGATACAGGGAACTGCAAGCGAAGCAGTTTTGGTAGTGCTTTTGGCTGCTCGAGACAAAATCTTGAAACGGGCTGGAAAAGATGCAATTGGAAAGCTCGTGGCCTATTGTTCGGATCAAACTCATTCTTCTCTACATAAAGCATGCAAGGTATATCTTTAAATTTCAATTGGAATCATATAACCTCTCCTATTTCTCAGAGCTAGTTCAATATTTTGTTTATTGTTTCATCCGTGGCAGATAGCAGGAATCTATCCTGAAAATTTTCGTGTGCTGAAAACGGATTCATCCACTGAATATGCTCTCTCTCCTGAGTCACTTGAAGAAGCGATTTCACGGGACATAAACTCGGGTTTAATTCCCTTCTTCTTGAGTGCTACTGTAAGGAAACTATTTAGATTGTGTAAAAAAAAAAAAATATGATTACTTATTCAATTGGTCCCTGTGGTTGCTCTGCTTGGATCGTTTTTCGTAATTATGTGGGAGTTGCATTTAGTTAACTGAACCGTTTCGTATACATTGTATTTAAAATAACATTGTCTTGAGACATTCTCCACATCATTCGTATCATAGCTTTTGTTTTATCATTTCTCCATAAATTGGGGAAATTTATATAAATTGTTAACCAAATAGGTCGCTTTACATGCTTTAGGTTGGGACTACATCATCAGCTGCTGTGGATCCGCTTCGTGATCTGGGGAAGATAGCAAGTGTGAGTTTTTTTCATGCATTAAGAGGTCATCAATCATTGTACTTCTCTGTTTAATTCCATATTTATAGCTATTTCGAACTTCAGTAGTATTTCCAAACACATTTTTTTTTTCCTGTTTCTATTATTTCAATGTTTAATTGAATGCCTGTAAGTAAAGGGCTCGTTTTATGTAACACAGAAATAGATATCATCTACTGATGAATACCAAAACTTTGTCCTACAAAGTGGCTTTAATCCGGTTTTATATGTCTTGATGGTTTTCATGTTTTTACAAGCACTTCTGAAAATGTAGAGAGTCATGGAGTGTGGTTTCATGTGGACGCTGCTTATGCTGGAAGTGCTTGTATCTGCCCAGAATTTCGCCACTATATTGATGGTGTAGAGGAAGCCAGCTCGTTTAACATGAACGCGCACAAATGGTTTTTGACCAACTTTGACTGTTCGCCTCTTTGGTTGAAGGTATATGTTAATGAATATACAAATACAATAGCTTGTGGAAGTTATGTTTAAGAAAACTTTTAGACAAGTCTAGAAAAGAACAAAAGCCATAAGTCACATTACTCAATTCTGCAATAATTTATTTCTTTTTACGTGTAATTTTCGTCAAGAAGTTGTTTCATGTCATGTGGGTTCGTTATTTAATATATTTTCTCTTATCTGAGGAAAAAACTAATGAACATTCGTTATCGACAGGAGAGAAGTGCGCTCATTGAATCATTATCCACGAATCCTGAGTATCTTAGAAACAAAGTGAGTAATATATATTCTTTTGGTGATAAAATCGGCATTGCATTTCATTCAGTGTTTTCCAAAGTACAGGAAAAATTAGATATCAGAGCCCAATTATTAGTTGAATAATGGATATTTCTATTTTCATATGTGATCATTTACGGGAAGAGCATGAAAGTTCAAACACTTACGTTTAACTTCAACTTTTTGAAAAGAGTAAAGTTAACAGTTCTGCTGAAAACAGCAGTCTACGATGTTTTTACACAGTAAGGAATACATTGTAAAATTTCTTTTCATTTGTCAGAATACGATTTTTATCTGATTTTTTATTCAGGCTTCTCAACAAAACTTGGTTGTTGATTACAAAGACTGGCAGATCCCTTTAGGCCGCAGGTTCAGGTGTGTTGTTTACAGAAAGCCAATTTCAAAGAAAGGAAAAACGATGGACTAATTCAAACCGAAACCAAAAGAAAAACCTAAAGAAGAAAAAAAACAAAAATGATTCTGTTGTTTTCGTTCACAGGTCTTTGAAACTTTGGATGGTGTTGAGACTTTATGGGCTGGAAAATTTGCAGGCTTACATAAGAAACCACGTTGAGTTGGCTAAGACTTTTGAAGGACTTGTCGAGCGAGACCCGAAATTTGAGGTAAATGACACGCTGACACTCATCAATTAGCTCGATCGACTATATGTGATACTAGTTAACGTCAGCACTTCCAAATCCTGTCTTAAGTCTAATGAGGCCATGTTAGTGAATTTTGTTTGCCGGTAAAATACATCGAACAATAATAGCATACATGTTTACCAGTAAAATATATCGAACAATAGTTTTACGTATAAGCTCTCTTTGAATTTGTGTTTCGGAAAAAAATGTGTTCTACAATAGTTCCTAAAGAAAGTTATTCAACTTATAACTTGTTTTCATAAAGTAAGAAGATCCACTATGTTATATTTCCCTATACTAACAACTACTTATTTTTAAGCTAATATCTAACATCTTATAACCCCTGAAAATTGACTGGGAAAATTCAAACGATCTTCGAAATAAAGCTCTCTTTATAGAACAAAATGTACCTACACCCATGCATGAAAATTCTGTACAAATATTGATGCTTAAGGAACTTGCAGGTTGTTGCTCCTCGGAATTTCTCCTTAGTTTGTTTTCGCCTGTTGCCTGAAGGAAACAATATCGAACGTGCCAACAAATTGAACCATCAGCTACTGGATGATGTGAACTCAACCGGAAAGCTCTTCATTTCTCACACGGTATGCTCAAATTAATAAGTTATATTTTACGTCTGTCTTTCTTCGGATATTGGGTTAATTACCGAGGTACCCCTGATAGTTGATGTGTATACAAACCAAAAACTCACAGCTCCCTTTGAAATTTGCAAAAATGCCCTTGAAATTTTAATTTTCTTGCACTTACCTCCCCATATAAGCATGTAGAAGAAGGAACATCCAACTACATTTATACAAATACACAATGAAATTCGCAAAAATCTTGACACTAATCATAGTTCCACGAGCATTTTCGTAAGAAACAAACATGATTAAGGGAACAGAGGAAAGAGATTTACTTGTTTCCTTTGAACCGATTTATAGTTCTTCTGACTTAGTCTTAAAATGGTGTAGGTCCTGTCAAACATGTATGTGCTGAGATTTGCAGTTGGGGCGCCTTTGACGGAGGAGAGGCACGTGCTCGATGCTTGGAATACGTTACATGAAAAGGCTTGTGCGTTGCTAAAGAATGCACAGAGCTAGTCGAGACTTGTTTGCATATTTTTATGTTGCATTGTTTGGAGGCTCTTGCTATTTACCAGTGAATGATATTTGTTATCTCCTCACATTATATATCCTTATATATAATTTTCAAATGTGTTGAGTCTTAGTATCGACACGGACGCATCGGAATCGTAAACTCGGAGTTAATAAATTTTTATACAAAAAAAATTAGGCTTGGATTAAATCTCTATATTATTAAATTTGCTATTGATTTCTTCCATCTTTTTTCCACAACTAATTAACATAAACTATTTTTTTTTTCCTTACATTAATTAATACCAAGTAAATCAAAATTACCAATACCAGAATCCTTGCATATGTTCTGAAATCATGTTGATCAAATAAACACCAGAAAGAATTTGATTGTGAAGTTGGCTCACAGAACATAAAAAACGAAAATTAAGTTCAATTCACTTTCCTACTATTATGAACAATTAAAGAATACAGTTTCATTCCCCCTTGCTTTCTTTTTAACAAGAAGGGTCTGGCCACAACGCGTCGGCCAGATGGCGCAAAGCGGGGCCTCGTTAAAATCCGATCGAAGTAAAACCCGTGTGGGGAAAAACCTCCGACCGGGAAAAAGAGTACCCCAATAATCGAAAACAAGAAAATATCAAACAAATATCAAACGGACACTTAGCTAGCAATTATCGGCAAATCACTCGACCAACGGAATCCATTTGCATGCAACCAATTATCCACGTCGCTGAAGTCAAAAGAATCGCCCTCCAAAACCTGATCATCGTCATAACCCAGCCAACTCTCGATATCCTGAAGTCCCGGCAAACTCGACGGACATATGACCTCGCCACCTGTCGCCGGATAGTCGAGCGACCCCACATGACCACCATCACCCTCGACATGTGACGTGGATGCCAGCGTGGCCATTAGGTAGTCCAAATCTGCTTCGACGGGTTGGACAACACCACCTCCTGTACTTGTAGTTGTTGGGGTCTTCTCCTTCTTCTTCTTGAGTACGCACAGAACGTAGTCCCGCCGGTCCTCTGCAACCCTGAGAGATGTGGAGTCGGGAAGGGAGTACTCCTTCAGGGCCCACTCGCCGTGCGTGGGCCCCACGTCGTCCGAGTTTCTAGGCTGGTAGCGGAAGGTTCGGGCGTGGCCGATGATGTTGCCCTTGGGGCCGATGATGTCGGACTTCTGGCCTTTGTTGGACCAATTCCCGTCGGCCCCGACGTTCCTCGAGTAGCGCTGGTAAGTCCTTCCCTTCTTGGCGCCGACTTTCTTGAGTTTGGTGAAGAAATAACGACAGCCGCCGTCTTTTACATGGGAATCTTCGAACAGCTCCCAAGGCTCCGTTTGGCCGTAGAGGTCGGCTATGGAGATGAAGCCGTGGGAGGGAAGAGGATTCCCTGTGATGAACCCCTGCAGGTATTCAAGGCACTCTGTATCGCGAGGACGGAAGCGAACGCCACCCATGATTTTTCTTTTTCTTTTTTCTTTTGGTTCTTCTCAAGTAACCTAGCTAGAATTAATTATATATATATATATATAGTATACCAACACGGCAACACCTGAAATTGCCGCCTCGAATATTAAACAATTATAATACTTAGTATATATATAATTATAAATAAATGAATAAATTAATTATTAAGTAGCTTGGAGAAGAAAAAAACCTCCAAAAGTACATTTATTTTCTGTAAATAAATTTTATCAGTTTCAATTTTAATGTATGATATATCATTAAAACAATGAGTAGAATTATTCGAATAAATAAATAATTAAATTTATACATAATTATGCATTGGGACTTACCCTCTAACTTTGAATTAAATTTATTAGACCCTATGTGGATAATTCAAACAACAAAAAAATATGGGTATATACAACATAATTGAATAAAAAAAAACATATATTGTTTTCATATAAATATGACAAATTCTTTCATAATATGGTATTTAATAAAGATAAGTTTTGTTTGTCATTTTAATTTGTCGTATTTATGGTACGGTTAACTTTCATCTCAAAGTTACATATTTTGTAACAATTTTATTATAATTTAGTAATATAATCAATAAATATTATTTTTATTACTGAAATTTACCTTTTTTATGTCGAATAAAAATGAACTTATAAAATATCATTTTCGATTATCAATATTGATTGTAATATATTCATTAGCTTATACATTAATAATGATATAATCATATAATATATATATATATATATATCTTATAGTCACTATTTTTATAGATTATATATATATATATATATATATATATATATATATATATATATTTATATACATGACCAGTTATAATTAAACGATTAGATTTAAGTAAGGAGAATTTTTTTATAAATTATAAGTATAAAATCTCCTTTTTATATATTTAATATATGATTTTATCATATTAGTTATTTATTTATATATATGACGTATGTAGTTTTAATAAATAAAAATTGATATAATTAACATGTAATAGAGGTAATAAATATAAAAATTGTAAAACCATGGCATATAGATTGGTATAGCTTTGTTATTTATTTATATGTATGACGCACGTAGTTTTTTAAAACATGGTTTGGGCTCGGGCTAGTCCGGTGCGGCTGGCTGCTGGCTGACCCAGCCGCCGCTGGCCACTGGGGCAGCAAGTCACCTGCGGGTGCTCCTGGCTGGGGCAGGGTGTTGTCCAGTCCTACGGCTGGTTACGCACGTGGACGGCTGCCAGAGGCGAAACCAGCATATACATCGGAGAGGCGTCGGTCCTTCAAAAAAAAATCGAACTAGGGGATGGGGGTTTTGCTGGAACTGGAAAGGCGCCCTTTGAGCGTCCTTCCGATGTCGGAGTGGGGGTGGTGCGCCGCGGGATGGTCAGAGAGGCGCCACCAAAAATCTAGAACCGAAACCACAGAGCAGCTGAGCAGGGAGGCCATGAAGGGGAAGCTGGATCGGAGAAAATTTGTGTTTGTGTTTGGTTTTATCGTGAAATTTTTTTTTAAAGGCAAATTGGACCCTCCGAAACGAGATCCTGGTTTCGCCGCTGACGACTGCTAGTTGGGGTGGACGAGTATGCTGGGACACGGGGATTGGGTGGACGAGTATACTTGGAAGGTGTCGGGGACACAATCGCGCAGGGGGATTGCAACTGTGGCGCCGCATGGTTCGCTGGGATGCGGGGTCTCGCGGCACACAGCGCAGCCAACGGCCGACAGCGACCCGGCACATGTGACGTCCGGTATTCGAATTTTCCTGTCTTAACCACAACAATTTAACGACCAGTTTCAAAATAATTTTTAAGGCTAAAGGACCAGGTTTAAGGATGTGATCTTTGGCTAAAAATTATTTCACAAAAATCATTTAAAAAATATAAAAAAAAATAGGCTTAAGGCATTTATGAACCAATTTTTCAAAGGCAACGGTCGACAATTATAAGGTACCAAAATCCACAATCATGAGACCGGTTGGTAGTAATAGGAGAGTGAACAATTCACTAATAAATCTGTTATACCACGCAAACTTAAAGAATAGACAATTCGTAAATTTACAATAAATATGTATTCTTAATGTAAAAGTGATAATTTTTTAACAAAAAGGCTCACATTTATAAAAAGAACTTTTCAAATATTATAGTATATATTGTAAAAAATATTTTTATTTACACATATACCAACACTAAACATTGTCACCAAGATAAATTTATTGGAAATTGTTACGGTGCAATTATGAAACTATTCCGTTGACTTTGTGATCATTAGATCATCATGTAACTGTCCGAGATAGTTAATCTAACAATTACAAACCCGACAGAATAATTCTGTAACGAGACTTTAACATCTCCCAAATTTATTATGGGCCTTGTCCCACTATAGTCAAAACAATAAACAGCCCATTATCTTTCAGGAAGTCCATATCGGTGTAGGGGGATTGTGTGTGACAGCTGGCCAACCACGTGCTATGTGTTGAGCGAGGTTGGGGACACAAAACAACAAGCTTACACGTGTTTCATATTTATGAAGCCTTAATAGTTAATTAATGAATTAATGGCATAAATAAATAGTTTGTGATAAACGATGTAATGATTAAAGTGTCAATTCATTGTATTTTTAAATGATAATATACCATTTACAAATATCATGTTTTTTTTTAACTTGATTTAAATATTTTACTTAAGATAATGAAGAAGGGTTTTCAACCTTAATTAGTATGTGATAATGTGGATTTGCACAGATATAAAATATGTTTTTGTTTGTATTTATTTATTAATTAGATATGTACTTCTATCATCTAAAAATTATTATTTTTTCTTAAGTTATTTTTATTATTCAAAATTAATTGAGATTTAAATTTTATTTTAATCATGCAACGTTTACATTAGCAACATGAATAAAATAATTTATATATTTGTGGCATATATTAAGAAAATTAACATAAAAAAAAAATTATTGGTGTTTCTAATTTTTAGAAGAAAAAAAATGTGTCAATTATGGTTTTTTCCAACAATGCAACCAAATATAGCGATTACAGCTCTGAATTTGTCAATCGACTTTAAGTTCAAACATTAGTCGTTACACATTTGAACATTTTGTTACCAAATTTAAAATCAATTGTAATTAATCCAAAAAGTAAATAATAGAAATATATATTAAGGTGTAATAATTTTAGCAGATTAATGAGTAATTAATTTAAAAAAAAAAATGTAACTCCTTTTCGAAAGAAATGAAAATAAGTTTTATTAAATGTTTTATTGAATGCATCATCTAGTAATTATATATATAAATATGAATGTGATACTATTGTTGGAAAAATCAGTTATAAAACTTGGGTTTGACCCGGTTTTGACTGAATTTTTGATGGCTAAATATTTAATTTTAAGTTGAATTAAATATTGTAGAAAAATTCTACGTTCCGAGTAGATACTCGTGGAATATTTATTTTCTCAAAACTGATTTTCGGTGAGTGAGAAATAAATTGTTAAAGTTAGCCATAAAAGGCACGTAAAACGTTGGTTGTGGGAATT